AGGAGGGGAGAGGGTTGAGAGGCTTGAGGACATTTTTGAGTCCTTGCTGGTCGTGTTACATCTACCACTCCCCCAGCAGCCTCTCGGGGACCTGGAGAGGGCAGAACCCATCTCAAAAGCCTCCAGTTAGAAAAGAGTGGTTTAGGTCGCAAAACTCAAAGGTCCAGGGCGTGATCAGAAGGCCCCCAGGAGCCTGTCTGGACTCCTGCTTCTCTCAGCTTTTCCGCTCATGTGGGTGGGTCTTATTTTAGGGGGGCTCAGCCCATGTAGCAGCCAAGGGGTCCCCAGCAGCCCTTGCAAGATAAAGCTCCTTCTTTTCCAGCTGATTCAGCCAGTCTAGGGCCAGTCCTCATTGCTTGGCTTGAATCACATGCCCATATCTCAACCAATCACAGGCAGGTCAGGGCCACTTGCCTACCCCTGGGCCCTGGGAATGGTCCCTGTCCCCAGGCACCAGGTGGTAGGATAGATTAGATCCAGGTGGTGAGTCCCCAGGGAGCATAGCTCCCAAAGAAGGGCCTAAATCCCGGAGGACATGGACCAGGTGCCTGTGAGGTTGCACAGCCAGGACAGTGCCCTCCTTGCACCCAGGAGAGGCCAGGTTACCCGGGGCTGCCCTCCTGGCTCCTGGGCCCACCGCTGCCGGCTGAAGCTCCCCAGGAGGCAGGGAGGAGGGGAGGCAGTGGGGGAGGGCAGAGCCTGCTCATGAGGGAAATAGTCAGGTGGCAGCTCTGGCGGAGCTAATCAATGCTGCTTCCTGCCGAGCGGGAGGGGCCCAGTGTCCTGTTTCCCAGGCCGCCAGCCATGCCTCATGTCTACTCCCCTCAAATCAATGCCCCAGGGTCAGCCTGGGCCTGCGGGTGCCCGGGAACAGGCAGGGGAGTGTGGCCTCGAGGGAACCAGACAGTCACTTTCTTGACTCCTTCGTAGTGCCCGGCAAGGGTGGGCGGCCACCCTCCCAGGCACCCCTCTCACTGCGAGCTCAGACCCGTCCAGTCTCATTTCTTCACTTACCCACCGGGGTGGCGTTTCTATACCTTCAACCGGAGCGATTGCCCCGTCATCCTCCCTGATGCGCCCACGGAGCCTGGCACAGGCAAATGCACGCATCCTGCCATTGTCACAGCCACGGCTGTTGTCGTAGGGAGCATGGCGTTGAGGGAAGGGACTGGGCCTGGGCTCTGCGTGCTGGGCCTCCTTTCCCCTGGCCCCGTGGGACGTCATCCTGTGCCCCTGATTCCTGGCCACGGGCTGTGCACCCGGGAAAGGCAGGTCCTGGACCAGCCGGGTGTGGCTCTCATGAGCTGCCTGTGGGTGGAGGTGAAAGGAGGGTGAGCCCAGACCCTGGACACTTTCGGGGGGAGCGGGGAGGAGCCAGGCTTCTGCCAGGAGCTGCCCTGTGGCCCCGGTGTCTCTCATCCCGTGTCCCTTTGTGCCTGTGTGCTGAGCCTGGGCTGTGAACACTCCGGACAGACCTGTCCCTGTCTGTACAGACGGACATGCCTCGCTGGAGACCCACAGGAAATGAGGCGCCTCGGAGAGTGGCTGGTGTGGGAAGGAGTGGGACGGGACGGGGAGGCCCTGGTGGGCCGTCCTGGAAGGAAGAGCAGTTTGGGGATAAAGTCTAGTGACAGAATTGAGCTGGTGGCATTGAGGGCTGAAGGACTGGACAGTGCATCTGGAACAGGAGGCTGAGGGACTGGGCCAGTTGAGGGGCGTAGGGCCGGGCCTGGGGACTTTGGCTCACGGCTGTCCTGCGAGAGTGAGCTGGGCACGCATAGCCCATTATACGTTTCAAGGGTCTCCTGACTCTGGGGCTGGGGCTGGGCTGAAATCCTGGGGAGGGAATCGGGGGGGGGGGGGGCGAGAAACCCAATGGGCTCCTGGGAGGAGGTGCCCTAGAGCGCTCCGAGGAGCTGCCGTGGTACCAGACAGACACCAGCGAGGGACCGTCTGGTCTTCACATCTCAGCCCATGATTAATTTATGACTGAAACAAATGCACTGGCATCGTCATATTAAGACATAAATATTACAGAAGCCAGCAGACAGCCTGCTGCTCTCTCAGCCCAGCAGCAGGCTGCTCCCCGTGCCCGGGTGGCTTGGTGGCCTTGGGAGCCACCTTCCCTGCCTGGGCCTCGATTTCTTCAGCAGAAGGAGTGGTCCCTGTGGGCCTTCCTGCCTGCGCTCTGAGGGCACCGTGGCAGCAAGGGTCTCTTAAATGGCTACTATGTGCCAGGCCCAGGGGAAGAGAGAGAATTTCAGATTAAGGGGAAGCTGGGCGCTGGGCAGAATCAGAGGGGTTTGCAAGGTATGTTTTGTTTTTAAAATATATTTTTATTGATTTCAGAGAGTAAGGGAGAGGGAGAGAAAGATAGAAGCATCCCACCAGGGATCTAGCCTCAACCCGGGCATGTGCCCTGACTGGGAATCGAACCGTGACTTCCTGGTTCACAGGTTGACACTCAACCACTGAGCCATGCCGGCTGGCTGGAAAGGTGTTTGTTGCTAGAACTCCTACTGTGTGTGGGACAACAACTCCCTTTCCTGTCATTGGCTTCTCAGGACCTCAGCAAGGGACTTGTCTGGGTCCCGCACGCCTGGCCTTGCTTGGGGGCATCCCTTCAACACCAGAGGGAGCAGTGGCTGTGCACCTTGCCCTGGCGGGGAGGGGGGTGGGGGGGGTGGGAGGGGGTGGCGGGGGGGGGGGGGCGGGGGTTGTGAGCCCCTTTGTTCACAGACAGGAAGCCAGGGGGCAGGCATGGGGGCTGTTTAGAGAGACTCCGGCACACATCCTGCCCTCTGTGCCTCAGTCTCTGCATCTGGAACATGGACGCGCTCCCTGGAGGGAGGCTGGCACCCATGGGGCCCAGCGAAGGGCCATGCACCTGGGCCTTTAGCAGCTGCTTATGTGATGTGATGGTGGTTGAGAACTGAATTCTGGCACCAGAGGTGGGCCAGGAGGGTGGGATGTGGAGCCTGAAGGGCTGGCCTCTGCAAGGATAGTCTCTGCTCAGGGACCTGGGCAGGATGCTTGGCGTGGTCTGTGACTGGCATGGAGAGCGGCCCTGGGGCATCTCGGAGGCCGGGGAGCGCTGCTTGCCTTCCCTGGCTCCCTGGTGAGCAGCAGGCCGGGAGCTGCTGCAGGTGGGTTTAGAGTGGAGAATGCCCTGGGCTCACCCCTGTCCTGGGAGCTGTTAGAGCCTAGAGACAGAGGTGCCCAGAGGCTTCTGTCCTTTCCAGCTGAGACCACCGGCCCGGCCCGCTGAGGGGATGCGCTGGCTCCCCTGGGGTGCACGACGAGCCCCCCCCCGGGGGGGGGGGAGCCATTCTTTCTGTGATGACCTGAGCCTCCCTGTTCTGGGAAACGGGAGGGGACGGTGGGGAGCTGAGTCACTTCCCTCCTGGGTCATTTCCAGGGAAAAGGAGAAGTTTCCTGAGAGCTTTTGGCCCCCTGGGAGGTTGGTCTCCGAGGGGAGGAGGAAGCCAGGACAGCTGTGCCAGTCAGGGCGGGGGGAGGGGGTAAGGGGGTGGGGGGTGGCTGGAACCTCCTGGGGTGTCCCTCTCCCCGTTGCAGGCTGGACAGCCATCCTGGCGGGGACAGACCCGGCTCTGAGCCCCACTCACCCTCAGCAGCTCTGCAGGTACGCGCCCACCCTTCCTGTGTGAGGGCCAGTGACTGCTGAGGCTGCAGTGGCAGCAAGGGGCCCAGCCAGGCCCAGGCCGAGCTCTTCGGCAGCTGGCGCTGTGCTGGGTGCCTGGGGGAGGCACTCGTGGACCCTCACTGCAGGCCCAGGAGGCGGGAAACCTCACTCCCCACCTGATCCTGGGAAAGCGTGGCCTGGAGAGCCGACTTGACCTGCTTCCTCAGCTGGTCAGCAGAGGTGGTGGGATTCAACCCAGCACAGCCTGAGGTTGGGAACTCTCTGGGTGGCCTAGGCCATGTGGCAGCCACCAGCTTCCTGGGGCCCGGAGCCTGGGCAGGAGCCGGGCAGGTAGGCCTGCACTGGTCTGTCTGAGCGTCCAGCAACCTAGGCGTTGGCCGGGAGGCATCCTGCCCCCCCCTCCGCCCCCACCCCCACCCCTCCGCTCTGCAGCCAGCCGCCCGCAGCTCAGATACATAATTACATTCCACATTGAGGGGCAGCTGGAGGCCGAGGGCCTGGGATTCATTTCAGGCTTGTGCTCTGGGCACAGACCCACCTCTTTGGCCCAATGCTGGGGCTCCAAGGTGGAGCCAGGGGTCAGACTGGTGATAAAATGGGGTCTCCGCAGGCCCAGGCCCAGGCCCAGCGGTCAGGGCCATCTGTCTGCCAGGAGGGAAGTCCTGGGCCCTGCAGGCGGCTGAGATCAGAGGCCCAGACAATGGGCCCAGGAGGCTGGGAGGGCAGGGTCCCTGGGGACAGGCTGGGAAAAGCCCCGCCTCCAGAGGCAGAGGTGGCAGGAGAAGCGGGTCACAGCGGGGTCAGGTCTGCAAAAAGGGAGAACTGAGGGGAGCACAGAGGGAAAGGCAGGATTTGAGAGAAGTCAAACCGCGCAGGGTGGAAGCGGAGAGGCTGTTAAAGAGGGGAGGTGGTATGTGTGAGTACATGCCTGGTGTGCAAGGGAGAAGAATTCTGAGGTGTACAAGCCGGGATCTGGGTGTATAAGTGCACACACTACCCTGAATGTACATGTATGAGTGTGTATGTCCCTGTGCACTTGCAACCTCATACATGTCAGGGCATGCATTTTGCATGTGTGGGTGAACTTGTGTATGGGCTGCATGCAAGATTCCCTGGACTGTGTGTGCGCTCTCTGTGCACCTGTTTGTGCTTGTCCCTGGAGGACATGCCTCTGTGTGTGTGTGTGTGTGTGTGTGTGTGTGTGTGTGTGCCCGCGAGCGCGCGCGCGCACGCGCGCCCCAGTGCGCAAGTGGTTGATGGGGCGGGGGACCTCCCGAGGCTGGGGACGCGCTGGCTGGGCCAGCCCCCGCTCCTCCCGAGGGGGGCGGGCGGCGGCGGGTCGCGCTGGGAGGGTGCTCCGGGGGGAGAGTTGGAGGAGTTGCGGAGCTGTGCTCTGGTGGCCGCAGGACACGGAGCTGGGTGCGCGCCGTGCCTCCGCCTCCCGCCTCTTTCTCGCCCTCCATCCCGCTCACCGTCCTCCCCTGCCTCCCGGCTACCGCGGTCTTCCTCAGCTCGGTCGCCAGGGTCGAGGGGCTGGGGGCCGGGAGCCCGCAGGTAGCGCAGGGCGGGGCGCCGGGCGTGGGGAGCGCGCCCGGCCGGCCTGGGATCAGATAACAGAGGGCGGGGGAGGAAGCGCGTCGCCAGTTCTCGCAGCCGAACAGAGGGACGGACTCCAGCCGCGCCGGCCGGAGCGAGCGCCTTGCGCCCCGGGGCGCCGTGGAGGCGCGCGCCCCCGACCCACGGCTGACCCCGAGCGATCGGCGCTCGGAGCCGACGCGCCCCTCGGCCTGGAGCGCCCCTGGGCGCTGCCCTGAGCGGCGGCGGCGGCGATGCGGCCGGGGCGGCGGCGGCCGGGGCTGGGGACGGCCGCGCGGAGCTCGGAGGACGCGGAGCGCGCCGCGCCCCGGACACTCGCCGAGGTAAGTGCGAGGCCACCGGCGCGCGGCCCCCGGGGGCCTGGCGTCCGCTCCGCGCAGGCCCTCTCGGCTCGGGGTGAGCGCGAGGCTGTGGGGCCACAGGGAAGGGGATGGGAGAGTTTGGGGAGCCATCGGAGGCCATGCCGACTGCAGGCTTGCCTGCTCCTGCCATGGCTCCGGCTGCTACGCCACCGGGAACTTTGCTCCCTGCTCACCTCCATTCCGGGAAACTTTGAGGCGCTCTCGGTCCCCTGGCAGACGTTCACCAGAGGCTCGGGAGGCACTTGCGTGTGTTGCCTGATCTTCCCCGGACCCCGGGATGGGGGGCGCGGATGGGGTCGCAGTCCATGAGCAGCCCTGAAAGTGCTTCCCCCTCCCCCGATCCAAGATCTGCGGTCCTGGAGTCGCTTCTCCTTCTCACTCTCCGTGCGATGGAGTGGAAACATTCTGGAAATGGTATTCTCTACTGGCGAGCGAGCCGACGACTCCAGCCAAAGCTTCTTGCTTTTAGATGGGCCTCGCCCACGGGGAGGATGCCCCGCAGCCCCGGACCCCTGGGTTTCAGGCCAGACTCCCCGCCAAGTGCTCCTGCCCCTCCGGTTTGGAAGGTGCTCAGGGCACGTGGTACTTCAGACCTGCCAGGGAGCGGGGGACGGGTCACAGAGCCGTGTTTCCGTGGAGGAGGTCTTCGCTCCAGGAGGTGCCTCTGCCTCTCAACAGCCGGGACTTGCGGGACCAGGGCCACCTGCCCCTCCCCGAGGGCAGGTCCACCTGGAGCCTGTGCTGCCTGTGGCCGTTTCTCCTCTGGTGGGAGCCCTGGGATAAAGCGCTGGGGACTCTGCCCTCCAGACCCAAACCCTGAAACCCAGTGGCAGTCTGTCTCCCCAGAGGCCTGGGTCTGAGACCTGCAGCCCTCTGGCCGGCCCTACCCCACCCCCAGGTGCCAAAGGAAGCCTGGCTCCCGGCTGCTCCCTGCCCCAGCCCAGCCTCACCTGGGCCGGGGCTGCTCCAGCCCCGGACTGTGCCATGTGGCCCCGAGGGTCAGGTAGGGGCCCCAGCCCTGGGTGCTGCCAGGGGGGCTTAGAGTAGAAGATCCCCCCACGCCTCTCACACCCCTTACTCCCCACCCCTATTCTGAGTCCTGAGAGATTTCTCAGCAGAGGTTGGCAGCTCCAGGAGGGACACCTTGGAAGGACTCCCATCAGTGTTACAAGCTTCTGAGGGACAGCAGGTGCAGAGGGAAGGGGCGTGCTGACCCCTGAGGGACAGCAGGTGCAGAGGGGGAGGGGCGTGCTGACCCCCGAGGGACAAGAGGGGGCTCCGGGTGCTGGGCAGCAGGGGCCCTGGTGTATCACTGAGTGTCCACCATGGCACTCTTAGGATTGGGTGTTGTCATAGACCTGGCAGACATGAACTCCGGGCCCCTGACAGCTTCTTTGTCCTTCTCCTGGCGAGGGGACAGCAGAGCCTCCTCCCCAGCCCGAGGGAATGGCCCTTCTCTTGGGGCAGGGGCTAGAGCCCGTTTGTCAGCCTGTGCCCAGGACGCTGCCCCCATCCCGGCTGTCATGTCAGACCCCAGGGGGCTTCCGGTTGCGCAGCGAGTGCCTGGTGGAGGGCCGTCCAGTGAGCTGTGCTGTGCTGGGAGGAAGTGGACCCGGAGCTGGCGGGGTCTTCACTGAAAGCAGCACAGCAAGTCGGGGGTTTGAGCAGAAGCCTCCACCGCCTGCTCCGTGCCCAGCTTCCTGTCCCGGGGCTCTGTCCACTGGCTGAGGGCGCTGCACTCTCATTTAATTTCCAAATGGTCTGCTGGTGCAGAGGGTGGCATTCTCTCCGTGGCACACACAGGAGGTTTGAAGCCCTGGGAGGGACTGGTGCTCTGCCAGGGACAGAGCTATATGCTTCCTCCTGCCCAGATACCCCGCAGGTGCCTCTGTGTTTCACCAGAACAGCGTGGCATCTCTTCCTGCCACCCCTCGCCTGGGGCTGAGCCCACACAGGCCCTGGTGTCTGCTCGCCTTCCTGGCTGCCCAGGTGCTGCGGGCCCGGGGCCCCGTGAAGGCCTGGTATGCAGCAGGTGCTCAGGACGTGTTGGTGGGTCAGGGTCCGGGCTGCTTTCTCTGGCCACAGGGACCTCGTGAGGCCTTGCTGTGCTGGCATGTGCGTGGCGGGTTGGCATTCTGATGCCCATGGCCCAGCACAGGGTCTGCTTCATACATGGTGCTGGGTACACAGAGACCGCCCTGCCCCCCCGAACCTCGGTGTTTGGGAGGAGACTTCAGGGCAGACGGCTGAGGTGAGGGAGGCCTGCGGTGTGACTGGCTGAGCCACTTCTCCTCTTGGGCCTTAGTTCATCGTCTGCAGGGTGGGATTGAGGACCCGCTGGGAGGCTGCTGAGAGCACCCAGGATGGGAGAGTAGGACTGTGCGCCCCTCTGTGGCCTCTGGGCAGGGGTCTCAGTGGAAAGGGGGCTCGGTGAAGGAGGGGGAGCCTTGGTGATGCCAGGGCCTTGGGAATCTGTCCTCCATCCCAGCTTTCCCCTGGACATGGAGGCCAGAAGGGCCGGTGATTGCTGTGGCCAGGCTGTCTCCTGCTGTCCCTGCCCCGCTTCCTACACCTGCCCCAGCCGATGCACCCCAGCTCAGGCCCCTGCCTGGATGCTGAGATGGAGGCTGCAGGGCAGCGTGAGGCTGTGGAGACCAGGGGTCCCTGGTCCAGTCCCTTAATCGGCTTTCTGCTCTGTAGCACTGGATGCAGGTCCACTGTGTGGCCAGAGAGGAGGGGAGCCCTTTCTCAGGGCCTCAGAGCAGGTCTTGGGGACCCCTCTCCCCTTCCCTGGGTCTGGATCTCCGTAGGACTGAGGCTTGGAGAGGGCCAGCGCGCAACAAATGAAGCCGTCAGAGCGAGGCTCCTGCAGGCCACCCGAGCGGCCACTTCAGCTCTGAGTGCACTGCGTGCGCTGTGGGTGCTGTAGTCTAGGGACAGCCCTGGGCTCAGGACCCGCCCAGGGTTCCTCTCACTCAGAACAAAGCCACCCTCCTCCCCACGGTCCCCAGGCCCTGCACAGTCTAGTCCTCGTTCCCATCCCTCTCCCCTCCCCCTTGGACTGCCTGCCCCGCTCTTTGCTGGGCCTCCCCCAGGGCCTTTGCACTTGCTGCCTCCTTGCCTGGAACACTCTTCCCCAGATTTCTGCACAGCCCCCGCCTCACCACTCTCAGGTCTTGCCCAGATGTCGCCCCCTCCGGGAGGCTTTCCTGGATAGCACCATGGCCTCCCTTCCCTACATCCCTCTCCTGTATTTTTCTTTTTAAAAATGTTGTTATTGATTTATTGGGGGTGATAATGGTTAATAAGATTACAAGCTTTCAGGTGTACAGTTCTCAGTATGCCACCCTTCCATCACCATCCCCCCGCCCCCCCCCCCCCCCCCCCCCCCCCCCCCCCCCGTGCGCTGTCCTGTGGAGGCCTGACTGCTGCCTGCCACGCCCTGTCTCACTTGCTCAGCTTGTTTCCTGCCGTCCCTTCTGAGCGCATGCTTCTCTAGGGCAGGGTTTTCATCCGATGTGCTGCAGGGGTGCCCGCTGCGAGTGGGTGCGCAGCGACCAGGCATGCGAGTGCTCAGTAGCCAGGATGGCGTCCCATTCTGCAGATGAGGAAACTGGGCCTCAGAGAGGTGGCATCAGCATCCCAGAATCGTGGGGCTTGTCGGGGCAGAGCTGGCGTTCAGACCTTCGCTCTGGGCCCTTGCCGGCCATCTGTCTGTGCTGGGGAGGGAGTTGGCATTCAGCTCAGGCCCCTCCTCTGTGCTGAGTTGCATCTGTGACCTTACTTGCTTCGAGCTCTGAGCCTGCGTGCAGCTTAGGTTGCCCCCCGCCCCGCACCCCTGTGAGGGCAGGAGCTGTTCTCACTGCAGATCTAAGCAAACAGAGGCTCGGGGAGTCCCACTGCTCAGCTCTCATGGCCCCCGCTTCCCGCCATGAATCTCTGTGCCTTCCTGCAGTAACGTGTGTGTGCATGCGCATGTGTGTGTGCGGGTGCGTGCTTGTGCGTGTGCATGTGTGCGTGTGTGTGCGTGCGTGCACACGTGTGTGTGTGTGTGTGTGTGTGTGTGGGGCTAGCTGCAGAGCTGGGTGTCCCAGGGCCCAGTGTCTCCTTGTCTTGCCCACTTAGCATTCCAGGTGTCCACTGGCCATTTGTATCTTGTGTCCCCCTGCCCAGTCTCTTTTTGGATCATGACGTTCAGGTTTAACATTCTTTTTTTTTTATTTTTTAAGATTTGCCATATTCAACTTGACCAGCTCCCCACTTTAAAAAGAACCTGCATGCTTTCCTCCTTCTGGTCTCTCTGTGGCCCTTGCCTGAGCCACGCCGGGCTTTCTGAGCTGACGGGCTCCAGGGGCAGGGACCTTGCGGACTGCTGAGTGCCACCAGGGGCTGGCCATGCCCCTCGGGGCTGCGACCCAGGCAGGCTCGCCTCGGAGGCAGCTTCTGGCTGTCCTCACCCCCTGAGGGGTGTCCTGGAGGTGGGGTGAGACGTGGCATCCCCGCGGTGGGAGGGGCAGCCTGAGGCCCAGAGAGGGACAACCACAGCCAGACGTGGCCCAGCTGCTTAGCAGCAAGACCCTCTGTCCCCCGAGCCCCTAGCAGCCCTGTGGAGACTGACTTAGGAAGCTGGGCTGGAGGAGGGAGTGTGTGAAGACGGGGAGGTGCTGAGCAATGTGTGCGCGCATGTGTGTGCGTGTTTGCATGTGTGTTGTGTGTGTAATGGAGAGGTCCCAAGGCCAAGGACAACAGAGGGCAATGTGTCCCCAATCCCTGTCCGCCTCCCCCTCCCTCCAGCTGCAGCCTGCTCCCTGAGGGTGGCTCCAGGCTGCACTTCTCTGTCCCTTACAGCAGAAAGTAATTGTGACGGCAGCGGCCAGCGTGTGCCACCCGCTGCCCCGACCCTGGGCCTCTGGGTCCTGGTCTCAGGCCAAGTTCAGGCCACACAAGTTCAGCGTGTGCGG